TATCATTTCGCAGCAGTAATAGCAGCATTTAGGTTAGCAGGTTCACTAGCTTGCATGTTGATAGAAAATTCAGGGTGTAGTCCTTGGATAAATAATTGTTTGGTGAAGTCAACAGAAAAAGCATCACTGGGGTTAATTTGTCTCTTTAATTATCTGAAATGATTAACATAGGCATCTACTATGTCTGAGCCTTGTTTAATATCAAAAAGCTGTTTCTGCCAAATAGCTTTTTGTTTAGGTGTATAGAAGCAAAGCCTGAAGAGATATTTAAAACTTCTGTCTTGATAGACATTATCATCAAAAGCATTTGGAGCAGGGTTAAGGCTTTGCCACCAATCTAATGCAATTCCTTTTAAATATATAGGAGTTAGTTCCAATTTTTAATTAGCATCCCATTTGTTAGCAATAGCAGCTCTTCAAAAATCTTCAAGTCATTGTTCTGGGTCTTGAGTTCCATCATCATAAAAGAAGTCAGCTTTCATAAGAGATTTTTCACTTCCATTTAGAGCATTAGTAAGGTTAGCCATAGCTTGTGTAGCATCTTGTAAAGCTTGATCTGCCATGTTATTAGGTGAGTTAGGAAGGTTATTAAGAATAGGTGGAAGTGGAAGAAGAAGTTCAGATTGAGGTTAAATAGCAAAAGGTTGAAATTGAACAGCGATAGGTTGAGGTTGAATAGGTTGAGGTTGAATAGGCTGAGGTTGAATAGGTTGAAGTTGAACAGCAATAGGTTGAAGTATGGGAATAGCAAGTTAAGGTGGAGGTGAAGAAAGAAGACTATTTTTAAAAGTTTGTTAAGGTGAGTCAGTAAGAGTGTGATCTGAACTAGAGGTTTCTGTAAGGTCTACAGAAGCAGTAATATATTCTTCTGTTTCTATATTATCAGTAAGTAGTAAAAGAATTTGTGGAGTCCAATCAGGAGTATAGTGACTTTCAGAAAGTTTAGTAGGTGTAACTAATTTACTATACAGAGCTAAGCTATCTGCTGGGTCACATAAGAAGGGAATACTATCAGTATAAGTAATATCAGTGGTAGGTGGTAGGATAGGACTTTCTAAATTTCCAAGATGTCGACTAAATTCTCCTGGTTCTTCGAAACTAAAACTTAGAGGAGTGTCAAGGTGAAGGTTAAAAGCATTTTGATATTCAAAAGATAAAGTAGAGAGTTAGAAGAGGTTAGTATATCTTTTAACTAGAGTTAAAGCAATTGTGCGAGGGTCACCAAGGTCTTGTTGGTATCGACAACTAAAAATAATATTTCTAATACAGAGATGAATTGTAACTTGGTTTGGATATAGGGTAGTAAGAACAGTAAAGTTGTCTTAAGTTTGGAAGGAATAATATTGAGCTTTAAAGTTGGTTTGGTACCAAGTCCAAAATTGTTCAAAATCTGAGTGAGGGCTAGTATGTTGAGAAAAATAACACTGTAAACAAGATAAATCTGGATGCGTGCTTGAAGTGCATCTACTGAAAAATGAGGTCTAGTTAGGTGTGCTTGTTGATGGCTTTGGATATTTTTGTTATAGAGTTCAGCAGCAGTGTGAACTATAAAAAGTGGTGTTTCTACATCCGGGACTTTACCAGGATAACTAATACTCATTCAGGTCTCTTGGCAGGATAACTTTTCCAATATGTCTGGGTCTCTTGCTAGGATAACTTTTCTAATATGTCTGGGAATGTTTTGTTTGGAGTGACTTGTTTTCTCTAAAAATTTAACCTTTCTGCCAGAAAGCACCAAATATTATAGGTGAAAGCCTTTTTAATTTTTATACTATAATAATGACACAGCACAAGGAATCCCTTACAGGTATATGTGGTGTCTAAGAGAGAAGTATAGCTTCTGTTAGACATTATCAAGAAACTATACTCTTCTCTGAGGCAATTTGGGAAAAGTAATGCAATACTAATAATTTTACTTTATTTTACTAAGAAGAGATAAACCTTACCTGTAGGAATTACCCTAGAGGGGGAGTATTAATACAGTTTATAGTCAAAAATCATTTATTAAAATAATAACAAGAAGGGCTATTCTTAGGTTTCTGTTCCTAAAAAATCCCAAGATGTGTTTACAATATTAAAGAGAAGAGGGGTGTCTGTTGCTTAATCACACTTGGGGAATTTGGCAGGGTTTATATATCTGTGAGCTAAACAACTAAGTGGCCAAGCAACTAAGTGATTAAGTGACTAAGCAACTAAGTGACTAAACGATTACTAAGTGACTTGAAGGTTCTAGCAACTAATAACTAATAATTACTAAGCGACTAAGCGACTAAGCAACTAAGTGACTAAGCAACTAAGTGATTACTAATCAACCGGAATGTTCCAGCAACTTCTACTAATAATAATAATACAATAATAAAATAAATAATACTAAATAATAATAATAATAAAATAATAATAAACTAATAATAATAATAGAATAATAATAAATCGTTTTATAACAGTATATATAAAGGTTTAAATAGATAATCTCCTAGTAAATCATAGATACAACATCTAATATAAAACCCTAAAATGAACTACTTAATTAATTTGCATGTATAACTAGTTGTACTCTCATCTTTGTAATAAAATACTGCCACAAAGCATAATCTTTAAACAAAAAAAATTTTTTTATCCAATCAGAATTAGTATATAACATATTATGATTGACTAAAAAATATTTGTATATATCTCAAATTTGGCGTATTTGATGCGAAGTGGCTTGGAACATCATAAAAAAAACCTGCAATTAAATTTATAAATGTTGTACTCTACTTTTAATAAAATTTACTAATAGAATTGCAAAAAAAGAAAAAAAGATCAAATTTTAGGTTTTTGAGGTTCTAAACATTTTTACTTAGTATCTCTGACATGTGAGATATAATACTCTCGGTGATATTGCTACTGGCAGTAAATAGCAAGAATTTTCTTAGAATGACATCTTGAGCACAACAATGCTAATTGATATTTTTTTATATTTGTATAATACGTATTAACCAATAACAATTAAACCATATTTTATGTCAAATAATTTTAGCTTTGAAATATCTTACTGTCCGATAATTAGATGGCAATTACATATGATTTATACAATTGCTATATATTGTTTGACGCGCTTTTTGTTCCAAGTTAATACATACGTATGTTATATTACATATTAAAATGCAAAAAAGATAGCACGTATGATTACATGTTAAAGCAACCAATCAATATCATAAAATGTTACACGTATATCAGCCCCGCAAATTCGTGAAACTATAAATAATACGTTTAATCAGTACACATGATCATCCTCATAAAGTAATTTTCGACTTTCTAAAGCTGTACGTACGAATTTTTCGTCTTGCTATTTAAACCTTCCTAAAATGCCAATGTCATCAAAGGCTGTAAACGGCACGTTGCCAGGTTCTAGTAGCGCGCAAAAAGGAAAGGCAAAAATGGCCCAGGCAAATATCCCGATTCCCTCATTGATGAACAATGTTCGTCGAAACGGCGATTCACCGCAACGTCCGCTCCCGGATCATGACGAGCGTTTTGACCACGTAACTTATATAGGGATAGGGAAAACTCGAATAGATACCTATCAGATAAAGCAACAACTAACAGAATTTTTAGGAGATAATGCTCATCCTTACTGGGATGCTTTCAAAAAATTTATTTATTGTAAAATTCGTCGCCAAGATTTTGAGCGAATCGTGAGGCCTTCTTTAGATAGCGAGCATCGTATGTTAAGTTCTTTTCGTATAATTTGAATGCCTGTTAATGAGCAAGAATTCATTTTACTTATAAAATTATTACCGTAAAGTCGAGTTGCACAATATGCTGTTGTTAGGAATACTTAATAATTGTTTGTGCAACGACCCACCACCACCACAAAACTATCCGGTCACTCAACCAAGAAAACGCGGTCGTGACGATGAATTTCATGAACAAAGTGATGGGTCGCCTGATCCTAAAAAACGACGAATTAAGGAGCTTGTGATGTCATTGCCTCGAGAAGAACGAGAGAGAATTAAAAGTTTAAGAAAGGTTGATAGTAATTTCACTCGGCGATATATTTAAAATAGGTTCCTGATTATTTTTAATAATTTTATTTACACAATCTATATTATTATCTGCGAACGCAAAATATTATTATGCAATTTTATATTATAGGACTTAAATGGAATTACAACGATGCCAGATCCCATGGCTACCATCTTACCGGTACCAAGGTCAGAGCAGTTACCATTATTTGATTACAATGATCAACAAAACGTTATTAAGCCACAACGTAAGATTGAGTTTTAAGTGCTTAAGGTTCACATTTGTTATAAACATTAAGCTTATGGCAATCTACAATCATAGTCAATCCAGAACGTGTTCAAACTTGTCGAGAAATGAAAGCATTGCCAGACTCTAATACTTTATATAACAGGATTTTAGAGATAGCACGAGCGAATGGCTTGCAAAATATTTCGGAAGATTGTGCAAGCTTGCTCAATTATGGATTAGAGGTTTGTTTCATTTTAGTTTTTTACTTTTTTTTTCTTAAAAGTTTTATATATAGTATAGCTTAATTGTTAACATTGTATAATTTACTCTAATAGTCACATCTTAAGAATATTATTGGCAATGTTTTGCAAAAGACTCGAGCCAGTAATTCATTGGGTATCAACTCATCTGGAATGCGAAATGCAGACTATAGAAGTCGAGCCGCCACAACGAGCCAAGAAAAGAGAACCATAACTGCTCGCGACTTGGCATTCTCTTTCGAGATGTCTCCTCATATTCTTGTAGAACCATCTTTCGCACGTGAAAAATTGACATCCGTGGTCATGAATGAAGACGAAGATTATGAAATGGAAGATGACCACCTTCTATTAAGATAAAATCCCTTCTCGTTCAACAAAAAAGTTGGGCCGAATCTATTCTTATACGATGGCAAGTTTTAATGTTTTTTAAGTCTTTTATGATAATGTTAATTAAGACTTAAGTTAATTTTTAGGATAAGACTGTGGATTAATCCGTTCCGCTACATGTATGAGTCTGATTTAGTTCTTAATTATATATTCATTCCTTTGGAGAATGTTCTGAACAAGTTCTTATTTGGCAAATTTCATTTACATGGGTAATTAAATTTTTTAAATTAATTGTCGCGGCTGATGCTTGAAATCAGGGATCTCGATGTAAAAATATAAACCCTACCAAATCCACTTATACTCTTTCATTATTAAACCTAATCCTAAACCCTAATATAACTATGAAAAAAAAGCTAAAAAAATGCATTCCAAAAATTTTTGAAAATTTCATATTAAATTAATTAAAATTTCAAGTGACATTAATTATTATTGAAGATGAAATACAAATTTTATATAAATTTAATTATTAGACCAGAACATCCAACGCAGTGCTCTTATGAACGTAAAAAACTATATCATCGTCCTCCTTTTACTGAATGGCCAAAGAATCTAAAAGAAGCAGTGAATTTATTTGAGAAACCTGAAGACGAACATTTTGATATTAACGATTCCGTTCAAGAAACAGTGGTTATTATTCAGAGTAATGAGAATGAACCAATCTACATTCCAAATAATAAGGACAAATTGAAATCTCTTGATACTACTACCAAAGAACAGGGAGTCACACTTTTTCGGGTGTATAGCCGGAAAGTTGAAACTGCTGTGACCTTTCCCCGGAAAAAGATATAAAATTATACCTTCTTATTTGTGAAGCAAAACGTCTGAATATGCCTTCGCGTGGAGATTATAATAAACTATGCAGAATGCTTAATGATGCTGCAAATAGCTTTATTTTATACTGGGTCTCAAAATGCAAAATGGTTACCAATGAATTAAAAAAGTTGTTTTCTAAGATGCGATGGATCGGATTATTTTCATCTGGTATGTAAAGCTTCATAAATTTTGATATAGTAACGTACTATAATGTTTTTGTTAATTTAGATGGAAAGCTTGATTTTATGATATACCAAATATCTGAAGAAACCAATTTACATTTCATTACATATCAAAGTTCTTATCCCATTTCGATTCCAATCACACATAGAAATCATGATATGGCAAGCGCATTAGAGATATTTTTACAGATTGAGGTTAATATCAATAATAATAAATACTATTTGTATCAAATTTTTTTATTGATTTGATTTATTTTTAGGACATTTTTCAAATGAACTTGAAAGTGATTGGAGAAATTCATAAGATAGCAGGTCAAATAAATATAGATGAGCTCAAGAATATCTAAAAAGAGTCATCGGTGAAACACCTTCAACTCCACTCAAATAATTCATATAAATCGTATTACATTGTTACAAAAGTCCATATGCTGAAGATTTGATATAGAATGCATCCAGAGATTTGCAAGATTCCCTAGTAAATTATTTTACGATTGTGAATTAGTTAATGCAGGAGGATTAGTGCAAATTCGAACTCAGAGATGGCATGCAAAATTAATATTTACACCTTACAGGTTTTTTGACGTGTTGGGTATTAAGAGTTAATAAAAGAATTTTTTCAAATATTAGATTTCAATTAGAATTTTAATAATGCGTAATTCGGTAAATTACAGCCAGTTCGGTGTAGGCAGTAAATTTTTATTTTTAGATAAATTTAAAAATGTCACTCTATAAACAGTAAATATACGACTAGCATTACAGCATGACAAACACGAATTTGACATTATATTTAAAACAATAAACATTTATTAATAAATATTGACATTCGAATGAATTTTTTTAAGTGAATACACCATACATATAAAATTTATCTACATAGTTATTGGATTTTAAGAAGTCGTTAAGCTTGATATGTCGAGGCACTTACGTTACCACCTTCACCGGTCCAATTGACATGAATATCACCGCTTGGATGTTCATTATCAATACATTCATCAAGGTATCTGAAGGTATGAGCACTATTGGAGAATTAAAGTAAATAAATGCTATTTAGTACATGATAGTAAAACAAGAAGATATAACACTTAAACATCAAATAAATACCCAAAGTAATCTCTCTGACTTTGAAGTAGATTTGCAGGTAATTTTTCATGTCTATAACCATCATAGAAGGCTAATGCGGTGGAAAACGCAGGAGTAGGGATGCCGAGTAAAATTGCTTGTGAAACAACATTACGCCAAGAATCTTGGGCATCCTCAACAGCATTTTTGAAAAATGGATCAAAAAGAAGATTCTCAAGATTTGGATTGTTAACATAAGCATTCTTGATATTACCAAGGAAGGCACTAGTCAATTAAACAAAATAGAGAAATTATTTAATAATAGTTATATAACGAATTAAAATCTAATCAAGCAGAAAATTTACTAACGAATGAGAGAATTATAAATATTAAAAAAAATTAAATGTGTATGTAAATTGACCGACCTTCGAATAATACAACCACCGCGCCACATTAACGCGATTCCAGCATAATTCAAATTCCAGTTGTTATCTTTGGCGGCTTCACGTAACAACATAAAACCTTGAGCATAAGAAATCAATTTAGAGGCATACAATGCTTGTCCCAACTGCTTGATAAAAGTTTGTTTATCTCCACAAAACTTCGCGTTTTTAGGGCCTTTCAATAATTTACTTGCACGGATACGTTCATCTTTCAAAGCAGAAAGTGTACGAGAGAAAACAGCTTCTCCTATAAGTGTAACAGGGACACCTAGATCAAGGGCAGATATAGCAGTCCATTTTCCAGTACCTTTCTAAAATTTTATGAAAAAAAGTGAGATAAAAAATAAACAGATGCACAAATAATTATAAGTAATTCTTAATATTACCTGCCCCGCAGTATCCTTAACTTTTTCAACTAAGGGTATACCGTCTGTATCCTTATATCTAACAATATTTCTGGTAATTTCAATCAGGTAAGAATCAAGTTCACCCTTATTCCATTCTTCAAAGACATCACCAATTTCATCATGCGTAAGCCCAAGACCTTCTCTCATTAAGTGGTATGCCTCACAAATAAGTTGCATATCACCATATTCGATGCCATTATGAACCATTTTAACATAATGCCCTGCACCAGTCTCACCGACCCAATCACAGCATGGTTCGTTGTCAGCTTTGGCAGCAACTGCTTGAAAAATGGGACGAACATGTTCCCTATTTATGAAAAATTGTAAATGATTAAAAAAAATTCATCCGTATATAATTGCTTGTCAACTCAACGTACCAAGCAGATGTAGTACCACCGGGCATAAGGGAAGGGCCATAACGAGCACCGCTCTCACCACCAGAGACACCACAGCCAATAAATCGGAAACCTTTATCTTCCAGCTCTTTACATCTGCGGATGGAATCTGGGAAATGGGAGTTACCACCATCGATAATTATATCTCCTTCATCGAGATAAGGAATAAGTTGTTTAATGAAATCATCAACAGCAGGACCGGCCTTGACCAAAAGCATGATTTTGCGTGGACGTTTGAGTTTATGCACAAAATCCTCAATGGATCGAGCACCAATGATGTTGGTACCTTTAATGAACAAATAATAATTTTATTTAATAATAAACAACTTTATTATACGACTATAGGTTAAATCACTTAAGAAGTATCGTGGATAAAATTATCAACCAACCTTTTGCCTCATTCTCCAAAAAGTGATCTACCTTTGATACAGTTCGATTATAGGCAACTGCAACGAAACCGTGGTCATTAATGTTAAGAATGAGATTTTGGCCCTATAAATAAGTAAAATAGTGAACTTAATAGATAAATAAAGACAGAAAAAATATAACGAGGTTTGATAATGTTAAAATATAACTGTACACATACCATAACGGCAAGGCCGATAAGTCCAAAGTCGCCACTATAGGTCATAACATGTTAGGAATTTCAAAGAGAATACATCATTCAATATAAAAACGAGTTTGACTAACAAACAATCCAAGCCTAAGCATTACGCGTAGTCAGCCCTTTACCTTTACGCTGAACATTTGTTAGATAAAAAAAAGAACACTCACGTAGGTTCAGAATATTTGCTCATTTTTCGATAAATTTTTAGAAAAAAATTATGAGAAATGAGAAAGATAAGATCAATTTATATAACGTCAAGTTTTCAATTTAATGCGCCTATATCCCTAATGGTATCAAAAGAACTAATAAACTAATCTAAAATAGCAATGAAATTCCATTACTAATACATTGCAGAAATACTGATCAAAAATTTCTGATCATCTTAGAAACATATCGGTATCTATATAAAAATGTTGTGTCGGTATATGTTTCGTAAATGTTTATGTTACGAGAGATTACTATGGAATAACGTCTATTTGATAAAATAAAACGTTTGTTGTAAAATGAAACTTATGAAGTCTCGAAGGTGCTAATACAGATAATCTATCATGATTAGTTTCGTGACGTATCAGATGCGGGATCACATAAATTTTACTCTTGTTTCATTTCATTTGTTTCACATATATTTGATATGCTGATATGGTCATTCGGAATTATATGAAAGCATAAAAGAAGCGCGTATGCATATTGTTATTTAGGAAATTGAAACGGGAATACGTTTGACCAAGACTCCGTTCTTTGCACGTAGAAAATCTGTAATTTTAAATATAACTAATATAACTTCAAACTTGTACTACTTATAGCTAATGCGTATACGTATGATTTATATGATTTACAATATCGTTATCATCAACCCCGATTAGAAACATAATTTTTATTAATCAATATATAGAAATTTGGTTTGATTAGCTAATCTATATTAACCCATATAACAGTCAGGAATTTTACGCAACATAGAAATGATCTGCAATATATTAAAAGGCTATTCTAAAATCGGTTTTTTTTTTTTTTTTTTTTTTAACCTTAAGCAGTTACGCTAGTACTTTATTAAGATTCTTGAAACTATATACATTTATAATTACATAGAATTTCCCAATACTCAAGTCTAGCATCACTTGGCCACTCTATTGGTACCTAAGTGTTACCTGTTACATTATCTTGGTTAGAGATAGACTGCTCATCTAACTACTTAAAACCATACCAGAAAGGTCTTCTTCTTTATATAACAAGCATATCAATTGTCTTTCAGGTTTCTTTCTTTATTTGATTCATTTTTTTTAGTTTCTTTTCCTTCTTTTTTTTTTCATCATCTTATTCTTCTTTGCTCTTTTCTCTGATCTTTTTTTAGTTCGAGTTTTTTTTTCATTTTGCTTATTATATTTACTTTCTTTTCTTATTTTTGTATTTTTTCATATTAGATTTTTTATACTTAATTATAAAATATATTTTACACTGTTCTTGTTATTATATCTATACATTTCTGTGTTGTCTACCTATTTAAAATCTGATCAATCCTCTTTTCAACCTCATTCATTGTTAGTCTTTTTATTAAAGCTATTTTGTTAGTAATTTTCTCTGCATCTGTTTTTTCAAATAATGTTTCATATAATACTAGAGGTTGGATTCTAACTTTTTTATTTTTTTTAAGACTATTCCATGTTGTTGTTATTGTTACTTTTTGGATCCTCTTTTATAGATTTCTTTGTCCAATACTGCTTGCTAGTATACTTGAGTTTCTTTTTCATCTTTTTGATATACTTGGCAATCAGTTATTGTATATATTTCTGGTCTTTTTCTATTTAATTCTTCTAGTATTGGCAGGTTATTCATTATATATTTAATAACTGTTGTTTTTCTTATACTAAGTTTTCTTATTATATAGTGTATACTTTTTGTTCTATTCATTTTTTTTAAAAAACTTGATCAATTATATTGAATGTTTTCAGTTTCTGACTCTAGTATTTAAATTGAGTTTGTTTTTCTTTAACTAGTTCTAATTCTAGTATTTGTAATTATTTTGCAAAAAAGTCTTGTTAATATATCAACTTTTCTGTTTTTTCACTCTAAGTAGTATTTTATCTTATCATATTTGATCTTTTTGATAAATATTGTCTTCCAATATGTTGTTTCTTTTTTTGTAAGCATATATATCTGTTATTTTATTTATATATCATTATTATAGTTTTTAATCTTAACTAATTCTATTCTATTGTTTTTATTTTTGAATAGATCTATGATATTCATTATCTATATTGCATGTTTCTTTTTTAAGACCTTGTTATTTTCTATTTCTTGAATTGCTTTATTAATATGTCTTAGTGCTGTGAGGCTGTCTGTATATACTTTTATACAACTCCTCTCTAGTATAATTAGAATTGCTAATTATATTATTGCTAATTCTGCTATTGTTACTAAAGGCCAACCTTTAAGTTTCAGTAATATTTCTTCTTCTGTTCAGTTTTCTCTATTACTAATTTGCACCTAACCAATGTCTATCTTTTCTATATTATTCTCACCTTTCTCTTTATATAATATTCTGTCTGTATAAAATGTATATTTATCTTTGTTTTTTCTCTTGTTTTTTGTTAAGACTTCTATTACATAATCTGTGCCTTTACTATCAAACTTTTGTTTCCTAATTAATTCTGTCTCTAATTCTTCTATTTGTTTTAGCTTGATCAAATTTCTTTTTTCTTTTCTCTATTCTTCTATTGTTCTATTTTCTAGCATTTTTTCTAGCATTGCATTAATCTTATTACTGTTTTTCTCTACTAATGTTTCTGAAACTATCTTTATATTATTATTCTATTTTATCTATTTTTTATAATTATCTGTTATTTATTTTGTTCTGTTTTCGTATTCTTTGTATTTATTTATTTCAGAATATGTTTTGTTTTCTACTTTCTATAATAACCAATGCTTGGCTAAGCTCTTTTTCTTTTTTTTCTTTGATATCTTACTAAGTTGCTAATAGTATCTTGGTTCATGTACAATCCATTCCTTCTTCTTTTTGTTTTCAGATATCTTTGACTAATTAATCATTAGTGTCTGTGTGTTATAGTCTTTGGTCTTGTACTGGTTATATATTTCTCTATTTATTTGTATTATCAACATCTTTTTTTCTATTTTGCTGAACTATTTGGCTTTTTTCTCTTTACATGACAGCTTTAGAAAACTTTTGAATTGTCTTCATATAATTAGGTTCTCTCCTTTTATATCTAACAGTTGGTTTAAAAATATTAAATCTTATTCATTTATTGTACTACTATTTATTACCTATGATTTAGTTCTAATTAAGTCTCTTATACTTATTTCATATCTGAATATTTTTTATAGGTGATTTTCTGCTCTAATATTTATTCTTATTTCTTTTGCTTTAATTATTGTTTGACAAGCTAGATTGTGCTTCTAATACTTTATTTCTTTCAATCTTCTTTTAGAGTTCTAAATGTCTTTTACTAGGCCTGCTTTCTGACATCTTTGAACTATCCTAAGCTTTGTTAGATTACCTAAGATGTTTTTTTTATTAAGTCTTGTCAATAAACTGCTTATTTGTTTTATTACTATCTCTTGACTTAGTGATTTACAATTTTCCAAATCCTTATACTTAATTATGCAATTATTTATTGTTCTTATCATATTGCACTTATGTTTTGCCAAACATATTATCAGTTGGCAAATCTTGTTAATCATCTTTTCTGATATTTTTATTAACTATAAAAAGTATTCTAATTTTGAAATTATTACTGTATTATTTAAGTAAGTGATCTGGCTCATTGTTATTTTTTTATATCTGAAGTCTTTAACTGTTTGGCTAACTATTCTTTTTGCTTTTTTGTAAACTAGTAACTCTTTCATTCTGTTATTTAGTCAGATTCCTAATGATTTTACAATTTTGTTTCTTGGTTCTTCTATTATTCTGCTTTGTTCGAACATAATTTCTCTATCCTTCTTTCTTAATCTAAAATTCATTACTATGAGTTTTGACTTTGCTCTATTTATTTTAATATTATTTGTGTTGAAGAACTTCTCTGCAATTTCAAGAACTCTAAGCAATTGGTTTTTGTTGTTTGTAATCCATATAATATTATCTGCATAAGCAATCGCTGCTTGTCTATGTTTTGTAATACAATTAATGTCTATATTTTTTAGTGTTTTTTGCTCTACTACATAGCCTAGTGTTTTGTCTTCTAGAATTTTTTTCAATAATGGATTATAGAAAAGCTGTCAAACTAGTGAAGAAATCATCTCTTCTTAGTCTATATCATCTCCTGCTATTATCTCTTCTATTAGATCATAAGTTGTAATCACTTTAAGTCAATATTTGCAGAAAAGGTTTATAATGTATTTCATTGTTTTTTGTAGTACTTTGACTTTTCTGAGTACCCATTTCAAGCTTTCCAATGGAACTAAATCAAATGCCTTTTTCATATCTTATAGAAATATTTATGTTTCTTTATTTTTCTTGTGTTTCTTTCATTATTATATTTAACATATATATTAATCCTTTCTTTTTTAAAAAAATCTTTTTTATTTTCTAATAAAACTTGTTCATCTTAACTAAATATGCTATTATTGTTAATGTTTTGTTATATAGAAACTATAAAAGTTATAAGATTACTGTTTGTTGTTATAATTTTTTCTTTAGAATAAGAATTTTTTTGTTATATGCAATGAGTTTTTCTATATCAAAATAGTTAATAAACTTAATTTTTTTGTATTTGTAAACTTTAATAGTAAAAGTTTTACATTTTTTAGAAATAAAAACAAACATTCAAGTTTTAATACTGTTTTTAAAAATCAAAAAAACTTTTAAATAAATTAATTTTGTCTTTTCTAAATTACATTTTACCCTAATCACAAATAATCAAAAGAAAGAATTGTTAATCTGTTAAATTTAAAAAATTTAAAAATCATAAATAAGATAAATTTTATATTTTAATTATTTTATTTTTAATTCTTGAAATTTAATAAATCTCAAAATTCAATAACCAATTAACATAAATTACATAATATAGGCATGCCTTTTGGCATACGTACCTCTAAGGGTCTAAAACCGCCGAGTCTACGGACAGTTCTTACGGACAGTTAGAGCAGTGCGATTCACGTGATATTACTAAAACCGCTAACTATTCATGTGATTTGAACTTTCCAAAGAACTGTCCGTAGATAGTCCGGTCTAAAACGGAGCATGATCACGTGACAACGGGCCAATCCAATTGAAAACGAAACATCTAAAAAATACGAAAAACGGTAGTCTAAACTACCTCGGGTAGGTTAATTAAAAATGTCGGGAAGCCAAATTTGCTTATATATAACTATCTAAAACATAACCATAACCCTAATATAAGATGGCCTAACCCTAAAGTTAATTTAATAAAGTATATTATAAAGAATCTACTCCACTTCAGACGTCCCTCTTTTTTGGGGTTGTATTACCGGCACAAATAATTAAATCCCATTTAACGGTATCGTAACTAAAATAATCAGATATGAAATATTTGAATAGCATTCTTATAAAATAAGCCAGTGCATTTCCAGTATTCGCATTAAGTCCTGTTACAACCTTCTGAATCAGATTCGAATTTTGTAAGTACATAAACGATCTTCAAGTTTAATATACATTCTTATGATTTTTCAGGAATAACGTAAAATACCTCCTTTTTTAGATAATTAAGAACTATATATGATCATAGTGTACTTGATTTATATGCACAATAGTAAACAAAATTAGTAAATGTTTTTGTGTTTTAAGGTTTCCACAAAGATATAATGCCATCATCAGCATATGACGCCAAAATGTTTGAAAATGGATGATGTGAAATTCCAATAACTTCCGATTCAGATAACTATAATAAATAAGTGAAAGTAGGTATGAAACTTATTGCGTTCCACTTTTTCTTGCATGTATAACACAAACATACCTTTAAAGGTGTTGACTTTCCAGTTTGAACATTAAAACAATATAAATTTGAATCTTCTGCTGCACAATAAATGAAATCACCCTGTGGTGAAACTGTGCAACTTACGAAATCACCACCTGTTTTCTTGTCTGATGTAAATGTTTTAATAATCTAGCGGGCATGCAATATTTGTGATTAATTCTACAATTACATATATTTAAATAAAAAATACAGTAAGACCTCCCTAAGTGCACGCTCTATGTAAATTCTCTCTAAATACACAGCATAGCTTGGCCCAACTTATAAGAGCATTATATATTTTGTTCTCTATAAATGCACTCTCTATTTAAGTGCACGTTTTGCTTTTTTTGAATATGGTTCCGAGGGGAGTGCACTTAGGGAGGTCTTATTATATGTCGTTTCTTATATGAAAATCATACCTGTCCTCTCATGGTTACTAAGTAAATTGTGGGACTTTTGTTACAAACAATTATTTGATCCATATTCTTTGGCATTTGAACAACACAATTAACTGTTATTCCACCTGAAATAGTTGCGGTGGCTCCCTGTCCACCATGTGGCGTTATTGTGTGGAGGCAACTAGTTGATTTACTGTCCCAAATCTATCATTGTTTTGACCTTTTAAGATGGTACAATTATAGTATTGAATCTCAAATATTTATGAAATAGGTTGTTAAATTCTGACCTTTACAGTACCATCGCTACTTGCGCTGATCACCCTTGACATGTCATATGAAAATATTGCATCGTTAACAAAAGATGAATGACCACGAAACTCTTTCAACGTCTTTCCAGATTTCAAACCGTGAAGTCTAACCAAAGTTAAGTACAAATGAATACAAATTTTAGTATTATTGTGATAACACGAGTAAAATATAATTCAACAAACCTGACTGTATGATCAAAACTTGAGCTTAAAACCTGACTACCATCACGGTTAAAACACACAGATGTAACTCCTTGACTATGTGCTGGAGAAAAGCGCCGAGTACATTGACCTGTATGTATTTTCCAGACCTAAACAAGATAGATGTTTTTTTATTGTTTTACAAGTTTTAATAATAAATATCGAGAGTAACATATTCTTGTACATTTCCTCACCTTTATACTTCCATCTTGTGCACCAGAAACCAGCATTTCACTATCTCGACTAAAACTAAGGCATAGCACTGGGTCTTCCATCAGCATAGGATTATCCTGTGTCAATATACACGGAAATATAAGGCAAGATGTACATACACTAAAAACTATTAATAATTTTAATTATGATCAGGTTTTAAACCTAGCACTAAAATTATTATTTAAAACGAACCTCCACTTGATATTTAAAATCTTTACGAAGTTTTCCAGTTAAAAAATTCCACACTTCAATGAATCCATCCATGCTACCTGTCACTAAAAACTGTCCATCAGGTGAAAATGTTGTGGACTCTGCATGATGCTTCTTAGGAAACTATTTATAAATATTTAATCATTTAGTTCATTTAGTATGGTATTAAATAATTCATTTACGTATAAGTAATCATTTTAACCTTAATTGTAGCATAGCATTTTGTAGGAACAGCATCATCTTCTGCCTTCGTGGTTGGTGCAGACCCACGAAAGAGATCGAAGGCAGTATCTGGCGGCAACAATCCTTGATGTTGTTGCCATTTCAAGGCTTGTCCAAGAAGGGTAAGGAGTCTAGATGGCGGAACCACTGTCACTTCGCTAGAGAGTGCTTATGTGTGGTTTATAAAATATAAATCATTTCTTTTTTAAATAGGAATGATGAATCAAACTTATAACAAACCTTGAGCAATTATCTGGCGTCTCTTTTCTTTTGTCATGCCAGGTTGATATGCCTACGTAAATGTAAATCATGAATTAATTATCAATATTGAAATGTGAATAAGCCGCAATTTCCCGAAATTACCTCCTTTGGATCAAACCATGTTCTAGAAAGCAAATGCTCTAGGTGTAAATATCTTTCCGAAAAATGATCTCTTAGAAACTGCATGGGATCTGTTTGTCTTAATAAGGTTCGAGCTGCACTTAGCTCTCGCATTTCAATTAATTCTAAAACAATCTGATATCAAATTATTGCTTATTAATATTTGTATTAACACTGCAAAATATATTGATCTAAAGAGAGTTATTAAACCTGTTCGTATAGATCGATCAATTTACGTTGTGGTATTTTTAGGTTAGATACTGTTCTTAATACGACATCCCAATGTCCTTGTATAATTTCATTAGTGAAAGATTCCATAGATTCCACTGTATTGAGAGCGATCGTAGATTCTTCCTGAAATTATAGGAAAAATAATAATTTTATAATTGTTTTTTAATTTTCAAAAAGAAAACTGGATATTCCGAACCTGTAAGGCTGCATGACTATTGGGAAGATTATTTTCTTTCAAAAACTGTAAAATCAGTCGAATTATGCTGTTGAAAATGAAATAGTTAAAATTAAAATTACAAAGCGTTTATATATTTTCAATCTACTAACTCTGATGACTCAATTTCCATAGTCAATATTCTACAAGCTCGCTCGCTCTAATTAATCTATAACGATATAATATTTGTTTGATTTTTAATTTCTATCGATAACGATAACGATAAAAGTTGTTTTTACCACGCATTGATCAAAATTCATTTCCAAATTTGGGTCAGGTGGTAATTTTTGTGTTAATACAATATATAATACGTAGAGCGATATTGGATAGGTATTATTTAATGACAATACTAAAATGCACCATAGTGTTAGAATAGAGTTTGTAACCGGTTATCGGAATCGAATTCTTAACTGGGTTGGAAAATAGTAGTTTATAACGTAATTCAATTATTTATACGTATTCAAATTCTGACTTTGAATGCGATTTTTAAATCCACAGAATCTCCGATGCAACATGTCACCTTTTGCGAAGCGTAATAATAAAGATTTAAAATAAAAATCGGTGATTTATATCATCGAGATTTAAATCACATGCCATCCTACACCCTAGTCTTCTTGAGCAAAGCATATGTGGTGCATATCGCAACAATTCATAATCTTGAATGGGGTAGTTATTTTCATCACCATGGTTAGAGTACCATCAAAGTTAATAATTGGGGGGGTTTTTTTATTATTAAACATTTATACTAATAAGTATATATTAATAGCAATATAGTTAAATTAACATTCTATACAAGGTTTAAATCTAAATTTACAATGTTCATAAGATTCGATCTTTACGTTAATGCAGAAAACCGAATAAGACCTTGAGAAAGTTTTTCTAACGGTATTCTATCTAAAGCCTGAAGTTCCCGTCTAACATACTTGACCAGGCATGCCATGTTATATGCTGACCCTTCCGTAACCAATACATTCCTATTTATAAATAAGAAAATTGATCAGAAATAAAAAGATAAAACTAATCAAAAAAGTATATAATTCCATCACTACCTCCATAAAGCTGTTGCTAATACTGGATCATCCTTACAAAGTCCTTCATCGTATGCCATAACGGCACCGTGAAATTGAGAAAGATAATCTTTCATATAGTGTGAAATTAGATTACCCGATGTGATCTGCAAATTGTAGTACGAAATTAACGTCTACAAAAATCGTTACAAAGAAATCGATATGTATCAACATACACCATGTATCTCTCGCATTCGCCATTCTGCATCATCAAATAAATGATTCACTAATTGTTGCATATACACTCTTCCATCATTTTCAGGTCTAAATCTGACCATTAGCATCCAAACATGTAATAGAGTTATTTGAAACCATGTTTGAAAGCTATCTGGTAATCCGCAAGCTTATAAACAATAAAGTTCATAAGCTGTTATCAATAGAGTTTCTCTAGTAAGCACGATTTGAAGAGAGTCCACTTACTATCAATAAAAAACTCTCTATTCTCATCTAATCGTAATGCACACATTTGATACATTTCCCTTGTTACGCGAATAGCTTGTACAGGCAAATCATAATATCCTAAAAATTTTCCGAGACGAACTAAAATTTTTGTAACAAATGGTGAATATGTCCTTCTCTTTGACTCTTTTGGTGTTTGAAACGTGTCCAAATAATAAGGCTCAGCCTCTTTGTATATTCTTTGGTGACTACTTCCTGTTGCCTTAACCGGCTTTTTTGGCCTTTCTCTGACCCATGTATGGTTATTGGGCGAAACTTTTTCAGTGTAGTGACGTAAGACGAAACCTAAAAGCGGCGAAAAACGAAAAACAAAACCCTGACGAAATCCCAAATCCTTCTGACGAAAGACGAAGCTTAAAATCGGAATTGACGAAGGGCGTAACCTGGCAAAACCTTAATGAAATGTAAATCCAGAAGAGAATTTGAAGATCAAAACAAAAACTGAGCTATAATTAGTAAGCCATTTCTATAATAAAAAAATGAGTCTTTACCATTCATAGATTTTTTCACTATTTATTTGTTATATAGTTTATAGACATCAAAAAGATTACCGTTACGAGCAAGCGTAATTTGGCGAATTAGGCCAGCGAGCTTTGCTACATGCACGATGTCGATCATGTGAATGATCGTTCCGGATCAGCCCGACATGAATTCCGAACACGTAAAAGAAGATAAAGCGAAAATACTCAAAAACTAGTGTTTAAATCGGTCTTGGTGCACTAATTGAAAATGTCGGAACCGAAATTTTACGTATAATGAACCAATAATTAATAACTGTAGCTCGAATGTCAACTTTCTAACCCTAAATCTGTGATTTTATGCATTTTGTTTACAAATTAAAACTTTTTTTTGGTTGATTTTTAGATCAGATATAACGTAAAAATTATGCTTTTTTTAAAAAACAAACAATAACTAAAAATTTAACTATTAAATTATTTTTTGCATTTTGATAAAAAAAAATTCATTTTTTTTAAATATTAAGATGAGTACTTGCGATTCAGGATTTATTAATAGTATGTTTAGCAAATAGTTGCATTACAACTACAGAGGACAATTATAAAAAAAGTGTATAATAGTCATTTATACAATTTAGTTATTGTCTAATTTAAGTAGTTTAGCTATCATACTTTATAAGTTTCCTATTTAAATATTTTAGTTTTCATATCTATTTATTTATTTACATTTATCAATGATTCTGATTAATACTAATAAAAATATGTTATAGTTATTAAGTTTTTAAAGTAGTTTATTTATATAAGAAATATTTAATTTTATATTAAACTTTTCACAATTTTTTATATTCTATTCTTACAACTAACCTAGTAATATTAAGAAAACAGGTGTTGTTGTAAATCTAGAGCAAATTAAAAAATTATTTAATTATTTTTATGATTAGTTATATAAACAAAATTCAATTAGTATATAAATAGATAGATTAAGTAGACATTACTATTTATATAGTGATGTCTACTTAATCTATTTACTTATACCATAGTGATGCCTATTTATAGATAATAATGCATACTTATTTATTTTTATATATTTATATCTCTTTTGATGCTTTATTGCTATCTATCTGTTTTTACTAATTTGTAACTATTTGGTTGCTAAAGCAAGTTAAAAGTTTGTTTTTCTATTCTGAAGCCTTTTAATAATTATATAGAAATAAAGTTGGTTTTTTCACTCTATAACCCTTTTGGTTGTTATATTTAAGACCAAGGGTATAGCCCATTTGCTGGCCTTTTAATTTGCTAAAATGATGTAAAAAAATTATGTTAGATAATATAATAAATTTGCAATTAATTTTAACTAACATTATGTTATAATTTTAGCTAATCTTTAAAACATATAATTTAAGAATTCAACTTGGCACTATAATAATGTTATAGTAATATTATAGAACTATTGTAAAATTGGCATAAAACTAATAAAAAACTAAAGAAATTTTATTAATTTGCTTAGCTTAAATATCAAATTATTTTTGACAAAATTTATAGAAATAGTGTTAACTAAAAATAAATAAATTAATACTGTATTTTATTGCATCATAGTTACATAATACTGTTCTGGTATTAGAACACTTTTATATAGTTGCTTCTCTCTTAATTACTATTTCTTGATTGCCAGATAAGGCACAAAGTATCAAATTTGTAATCCATCTATTTGCTAAAGATGTTTTTCAATCTTATCTTGTATAACCTTATTAATTACTAAGTTGAAGTATGAAATGCTAAATTGGTAATCCAAATATGCAATTTTATCTTTTATATTTCTATTTGATTATCAAGTTGAGACACAAAATACTAAATTAGTTTAGACTATATTGCTTTTATACTTTTTTTTCATATATTCTTCTAAATCTTTTTGCCTTTCTGATTTTTTTCTTACCTATCAGCAGTAGTACTTCAAGTTGTAATTTCTTATTTTCTTTCTTATATATTATTCTAATTTAGAATACTACTAATTTTATATCTTATTTTTTGGTGCTATTTTTTTAGAACCTTTTCCTATATAGTTACTACTCTAGAATACTTTAGGATATAATCATATCAACTACTTTAAAGTACTATCATATCGATTACTTTGAGGTACTATTACATCGATCACTTTAAAATACTATCATATCAATCATTTTGGAATACTATTATATTGATTACTTTGGAGTACTATTATATTATTTATTTTCTTTTGGCTTGGCACTGAGTACTACTACAAAATTGTTAAAAAATATTAATCTACTTAATAATATCAATAATATATAAAAAGAAAGAAACAGTAAATATATAAACAAGATCATGAGTTATATTGTCAAGTACTCTTTACCAAAATTGCTACTTTCTGCTAAGAATACTAGTGATATTTATTTTTTATTTATACAATAGTAGTAGCCAAATTTAATTTTACTTTTGAACTTGCATCTGAATTTGCAAATATTCAGATCAATTCTTTTAATTATACTTAATACAAATTTCTGTATATGATATTTTATTATATCTATAAAATACAAGATAAAATTGATATTAAAGCTCTGATATATGTCCAAAGATATGAAAAAAGATGCTTAAACAAAGTTAGTTCTAATACATATTTATAATTATATAAAAAGAGTCATAAATAAAAGATGCTATATAAAAATATGAAACAGAATTATAGATAATACAACATTTATTCTAATGTATTAGAAAGAATATGTTAATATATATTTGAGAATTTATTATATAAAATATTTTTATTTTAAAAGCCTAATTTCTTAGAAAGATTATATCTAGATAGTTATAACTAGAAACTGAAAACCAGTATAAGCCTGAAGTACTAGTTTAATATATTTTTTAGTACTAAATAAGTTTACTTAATACATAAAATTAAAATTAATTAATAAAATTCTAATAATTATAAGATTTTATAGAATTTTATTAATAAATTTATATAATCTTATTATTCTTAAACTTTTACTAATTAATCCTAAATTTATGCATTAAGTAAACTAGTTTAGTATCTAAAAATCTATTAAACTAACAGTATTGTTTTTTATTGTACTTGAAATTTAGAGACAAAATGCTTAATATTAGTTTTTTAATCAAAATATACAAATTTAAGCATCTTTTCTTCAAATTTTAAGTAAAATAAAATCAATATTACTGATTTAATATATTTTTTAGTGCTAAAGAAGTTTACTTAGTATATAAAGTTAGAATTAATTTATAAAATTCTGAAAATAATAAGATTTTTGTATAATTTTATTAATAAAATTATATAAAATCTTATTATTCTCAGAATTTTATTAATTAATTCTAACTTTATATGCTAAGTAAACTTCTTTAGTACTAAAAAATACATTAAACTGGCAGAGTTGTTTTTATTTTACTTTAAATTTGAAAACAAGATGCTTATTTTTGTTGTTTTGATTAAAAAATACAAATTTAAGTATTTTTTCTCCAAGATTTAAATAATACAAAAACAACACTATTAGTTTAATGTATTTTTTAGTGCTAAAAAAGTTTACTTAGTATATAAAGTTAGAATTAATTAATAAAATCTTATTATTCTCAAAAGTTTACTAATTAATTTTAAGTTTATGCACTAAGTAAACTTGTTTAGCATCTAAAAATACATTAAACTAGCAAAGTCATTTTTATTTTATTTGAAATTTATAGAAAAAATATTTAATTTTGGTTTTTTAATCAAAAAAATATAAATTTAAGTATATTTTCTTCAAATTTTAAGTAAAATAAAAACAACTCTGCTAACTTAATGTATTTTAGATGCTAAACAAGTTTATTTAATGCATAAAGTTAGAATTAAATAATATAATTCTAAAAATTATAAGCTTTTATAGAATTTTATTAATAAAATTATATAAAGTCTTATAATTCTCAAAAGTTTACTATTTTTTTTTTTTTTTTTTTTAAAGCTAATGTTATTGGTATCTACTGTCTTTATTTGTGTTTTTGGTCAATGCATTACATATAACTTGTATAAGGTAAGTGTGCAACTAGCCACATGTGTAACTTTTGGTTACCTATTTAAGTAGTCCACCCAAGAGTTCTATACTAGCTGCTATGTCTGTAACCTACTAGAAGGGTACCTATTTAAACACTCTAATCCTTATATTACACTTAGATGAGTAACACCTAGTTTCTGTACAACTAAGTGTCATCTAACTCAACATTTAGCTTTCCCTTTTTGTATGTCTGTCAAGTCGTTAAACATTCCAGAATATGTCACTTGACTGTAAGGTTTCAAAATACCCTTTTGTTAACTATCTATCTACTCTACAGAATATTAACAAGGCTAGCTCTTGTAAAGTTTACCCAAACTTCAGCATCTACTTCATAGTATATCCTTAGTACTTATAGTATACCTCTGCTTTGACTTCAGATTTCCAATTTAGATAGCCTAATAGAACTATGACCTGTCTTTAGTATATCAAATTAGCCCAATATTTTTTTTTTTTAGTTTAGTTCTAGCAGCTTAGTTGGTGATACCTCTCATTTAAGATTCTTGCCTGTCCAGCTCCTTCATATTAGTATCTGTTTCTTAGGTCTAGCCTTTACAGTAGTATCATTAAAAATCTGTGTTACCTCTCTACTCAGGTTTTTCTAAATGAGCACCAGTTTCTCAGTTCTACAGATTTACATAACTACAAGGACTTATTTTAGATTTGTATCACTTGGTACTGGTTTGCATTTCTCTGTATAACCAAGGTTGCACGGATGTCTCATGACCTGCCAGTCATACTAGTGTGACCATAGTTACAAGTATTCTATCTCAACTAATCGACAAAATGCTGTTGCTGTAATATTATCTATATATTATATAGGTGATTATTCAAATTTTCGCTATTGGTGAGTTTTAAACTTACAACCTACTACTTAGGGGGTTGACAACTTATTCACTTCACTAAGTCACCACATCTCAAAAGTTTACTAATTAATTCTAATTTTATGCACTAAGTAAACTTGTTCAGCAAAAAAAAAATATATTTATATTTGAACTCA